AGGCCCCTGGGCTAATGCTTTTTTTTTTGTTGCTGAGAAGTCCTTTATAAGCTCGGTAAAATCCAGTTTCTGTAGAACGTCACTCTAAAGAGACATTAGAGTCAGATGACAAAGACGCTCCTGGCCCGTGACAGATCGCAGCCTGTTTTTTACTGAGGCCCGTTTTGAGAATGAACGCTCACCGGAGACTAATCTCCGTTGTTTTATTATCTTGATGAGAGTTCTTGCCGTGGTGTTGGTTTCATTTTTCATCTACTAACTCCATTTCCAAATCTCTGCAGTACTTATTTTGCAATTTTGTTGCAGACGAATGCAGCTCTTCTGGAGGACTTTATTTAAAAAACCAAAGTGCTGGTTTACAGTGTCGTAGGAGCTGAATCTGCGCTGCAGCTCCGCTACAGTCTGTCAATCACCAGTACAAACACGCTAGATGAGAACAGACCACGTGGATTCGCCACTGCACTTTATGCGCTTCTCTGGTGTCGAGAGTCCGGTTTGTACACCCCAGGCCCAGACACATTTGAATTAAGCACATTAGAATCCCCCCTATGACTTGTGATGGGCAAAAACTTAAGGAAGCGTTCCTCAATGCCACCCTCTCGTGAGAGGTAACACCAAATCAGTGTGAGCTGATCAGTGTGTGCCACATCAAGGGTAGAATCAACACTGACTGAGAAATATTTTGCTATCTCAATTTCATTCAGAATATGACAAAGAACCTTCTCTCCCATCAGCTGAATGAATTCTTCACAGATCCCGTGAGAAAGGTAAGAAAGCTGTCCTTTTCCCTGCATTCCCATATTTTTCGATGTGCGCTTTTAAGAATGGATCAAACTGGGTAATTAATTCTAAGATTCCCAAATAGTTTCCGTTGCTGGGATTACCAAAAACGGCACTATGACCCCTAAAAGGAAGGCCCCGCTCTGCCAGGACTCGGTGAGTCTCGGAGCCCTCATGCTCCACTATGCGTTATTTAGCATGCTTCCAGGCACTGAAACCACTTGTGAACGTGTTGGCTGTATCTCCAAAAATGTTACTTGCAAAACACAACATTTTTCCTTGGGAAGGTGAATACAAAACCCATTCTCTGGTCACACACTCTCCATTTCCAAGTTCACGTCTGAAATAACTTTGTGAAAAGTGAAGTTTCTGATGTTTATACACACGTTCTGAAGCTGACACTTACACAAGATACAGGTCCTTTTTTGGCCCAGTATGCCCGCGCATTATAGTCTATTTTATTCCAACAGCCCGGATCTGTACTGAAAGAATCATTAACAGTGTTCTCGAAACAGAATCAGGGCTTGCTGTGTCGACTCTGCTGCACCCTAAGACTAATTGAGGTAGACGCATCTTCTATATTAGCAGGTGCACTACAGACATTATCAAGGCCCATAACGGGTGTAGATATTCTTTCACCTTTTGGGCAGTGTTGTTCAGAAGGTTTTGTTGTTTTATTGCCGCTGTCTTGATTGTCTACAGGGCACATTTTAGATCCATTTTGAAGCCTGTTGCTTTGGCTAGCATCCTCAAAAGGCCGGTTAACATCAGTTGTTGCAGAACAGGTATTACTCTCTGCAGGCTTGAAATATCCTGTAAGTTTGGGTATTTTTTTAAAGCTGCAGATTGCGTTGTTTTACCAGTTTGTGCATTTTTCTTTTTTGTGCCCCACTCTCGTGCTTCTTGCAGTTCGCCATTGTTTACACTATTTAGCATACAGTCAGTCACAGTGCGCTGGTTAACAAAAGGATGTATCCATTAACCAATCAACGCCAAGGGCGGAAAATTACAAATCTCCTTAATTAAAGAAATGTTGACACTGATTTCTATGGAAAGCAGCAACAATAATCCTTTCAATTAAAATTGCTTTATTCCTATCAAGTTTACATTGTGTGGGTAACTATAAAGTGTACTCTGTTTTTCTCCCAGTTCACTGGCCACTTACTTTCATGTATTTGGGGAGAAATGGGTGAATCATGTGATGTTAATCTGACCAATCCACATGACAGCGTCCAGCGCGCATTATAGATCAACTAACATTTAGGTTGTTAAAACAGCCAAACAAATTATTTTACACATATTTGACAATCATAATAGGCTGTATCATACTGTATATGATATAGCTTACTGTTTATGATATAGTTAACAAATTTCTGGATATTTTGAATAAAAATTTACACATATTTGACAATCATAATAGGCTGTATCATACTGTATATGATATAGCTTCCTGTTTATGATATAGTTAACAAATTTCTGGATATTTTGAATAAAAAATGGAAAAAAGCGATACATCTGTGCACTACTGTGTCTGCATGACACGTGCGTCGCTATGGAAGTAGTAAAATGATACGTAGATTATTTAATCATTTATATTGCGTTTTTGTATAATTACCAATGTCCATTCACATAACATATCACAAAAAATAAAAATAAATAACTCAAGCTGTTATTGCATGTACTCTTGGTGGCCCTAAGCAGCCACTTAGTTCACTTATGCCTTGGGCCGGCTCTGTATATATATATATATATATGACGTTATATTAGTGCCATAAACTTGTGAAATATATTTAGTATACATCATTTTGGGACTGAATTCTCTTAAAAAACATGAAGATGTACTACACCTATTGAAGCTTTGAATTTTTAAACATTTACTTATTAATGAGCAAGTTGCTAATCAGATGCAATATGGTTTTAGTTGAAAAATATGAACTTATGACTGTTTTATAAAATTAAATAGGGTTAAATAATACATTTTTAAATAATAGATTTTCAATCAAATTAACTTCAACCTTTCACAATTATTGGTTATCTGTCTAATTGATCTAATAGCAATTATATGAGAAATGCATTCAAGTCCTGTCAGATAGATTGTATTTAGGAGCTGAAAGCACATGGACGCCACCACAAAGTCATAATTACGAGTGAAACGCTGAACCTTCTTTAAGCCCAGAGTTTCTGTCAGTGATGTTTCTGCAATGGATGTTTGTAATGTTTTGTAGTCTGTACTGTAAATTTGTTAAAATGTGTTAAAAACAAAACAAAAAAAACATTTACAATACAAAGTCACATACATAATATGATAGTATTGTAAAATTATGATTCAATTTACAGCACTTTCATAAATGGAATAAAATCATAAAAAAGCTAAAACAAGCTTCTTTTTTTTGTAGAAATGGTAAATCACCATCTTACTCTGACCAGAGTGACTTGAGGGCACTTGATGATTTCCTAACTCATTAATACAAACTTCCCAGGAAGACTTGAACACACAAGTTTCGTGTTTCCCATGTGTAATTATGACATTACAGTGGCGTATTCATCTGCGTTCAACTTGTAAATATGACCTTTCCAAAATGCCAAATGCTGTACGCTAGTCAAAACTGTGGTTATGTGAGAAATAAACATTTACATTTAGTCATTTTGCAGACGTTTTTATCCAAAGCGACTTACAATTGGGGAATATATAAAGCGATTCTTCTTAAAGAGGCAAACAGATACAGGAAGTGCTCGTAATACCAAGTTTCAGGCATTGTTTAAATAAGTACAAGCTAGAAAGGGAAGGAATAAATAAAGAGAAATTCATCTTAATTTAATATGAAGTCAAGTAGCGTTGAAAGAGATGAGTTTTCAGCTGTTGCTTGAAAATTGTCAGGGATTCAGCATTCCGGATAGGGGTGGGAAGATCATTTCACCAGCCAGGAACGGTGAACGAGAATGTTCTGGAAAGTGATTTTGAGCCTGAACAAGGACTATCTTCAGCATGCATCACATTATTATTAATGAAACGAGCATCAGCGGTACCTCAGGATCTGCTCATGCTGGAAGGGAAACGGTTCCTCTCCGAGGGTCTTCCCCTTCACCACAGATCTCTAATGCAGCTCTACCTGTGGTTCCAGTCGCTCTGCATGAACCTTCACTTGCTTTGTGGACATATAGTCTGGACCAAAGAAAATTAGAGGCATTAGAGACGGTCGAGCTCACTGTCTCATCACAACGAAGCACAAAAACACTTTCCAGAACTTTCACATTCACTGTTCCTCAGTGGTGGTAAGCTCTTACCTACTCAACCCAACATCTTCAAGAAACATGTGAAGAAACGACTCTTCTGTGAGCGCTTGATCCACTTTCTACACTCTGAAACCCGTGATCTGCTGCGACTGGTTTAGAGCGGTAAAATGTATGTACAACATAATATCATATATAATAAAACAACAACATGAAATAACTAAATAAAACCCTAGCCTTCAAATAAAAAATAAAATCAAATAAATTCTAATTTACAATATAATACAATATAATTTACCATTTAAAATTACAATAATATAATATTCAAAATAAACAATAAATATAATGGCTATGGCATTTGTATGACTTTCTAAAAGAAGAACTCGAACGAACAGATTAAGGAATAGTTTTTATGCCAAAGACATTTCTGTTTTGAATACTGCAATAACTTAACTGAACATTATGTTGAAAATTCAATGTTAAATATGAGTCGTGTAACTGACTGTTGAACGTGAGATGTGTTAGGTGTGTAATGGTGTGTTTTTTTTAAATATTTTTGATCCTGTCATCTGTTTACTATTTATTAGATTTATTTATTTTGTTAGATTATGCACCCAATGGGTTGCATTTCAATTTTGTTGTACTTGTACAATGACAATAAAGACATTCAATCCAATACTCAATAAAAGAGGAAAATTAAGAGCCTAAGTGAGATTGGTCTTGTGTAAAGTGGCCTTCCACATGACTCCTTATCTATCAAGAAAACACATCAGAGGTCTTTCACACAGCAGCTTTACACTGAAAACACATGGCCTATGTCTTAACGTCAACAAAGACTCATTCGTTGGGACATTGTGGGAATGAAAGATATACAAATGATGATATCAACACAAAGAAAGTCCTTTGTTTAATGCTAAAAGCATGAATGTAAATCTATGTATGTAAATGTTCCAACCTGAACACATTTCTGCTAAATCTTATCATCTGATCCTCCATCTTCACTAGAAATTGACTCTGGATATTTACATGAAACTGTGCAAATGTGGCTCCTCTGAAGCTGATCTCCATCCAGCTCGCAGAGATGAAGCTTGCATTTCATCACATCTCTAGACAGCGTCTGGTGGGATAAAGTAAAGTCAGACCGTCAGTAATCGCATGATCTACCCTGGTGTGAAGCCGAGGCAGACTGCATTATCCCACATATGAGAGATACATGAATCCAGCACATTTTGAAGAACGTTGGAAACCAAACAATATTGGAGTCCATTGACTGGACAAAAAACAAGATGTTTGAAAGATTATGTGTTCTTCAGTTATCTTTATTAAGATGCATTTATATTGTGACTGTGCCTCAGATGTATTTGCAATCAACTGTAGCCAACTGTATTTTTGTTTTACAAAAGTATGACCCAAATAGCCCACATAATTAGCTCCTTACGTCAGCATCGGGTCAGTGTATCATGGGCCCTCCATGGGAGAGGTCCTATCAGGCTATCATGAGGTTATAGTATCATTGGCTCTCCATGGGGTGTTATTGTATTGTTTATGGCACATTTGTATAAAGGTCTGGTCTCACAGACAGTATCTTGGGTTAAGTTTCTTTGAAGGATGACATGTTAACATTGCTACTGAAGAACTGCTACATTACCACCTTCAATAAATTCTTCTCCCAACAAGAACTCTGTATTAGAGAAATCAAATACTTTGACAAGCCACCCAAACCACTGCTTACTCAAATACAGCAAACAATTTGGCGAGCCAGCCAGGAGAAACTGACCTGAATACAATAACCCAGTTTTTTAAATTTCTTTTGAATTCAAAATTTTCAAGATTTTAAAATGTAAGAAAGTAAAGTGTCATCAACAGGTTGTGCTGAAATTAATGCACAAACTATGATTATGACCACATGATGCAGCACTGCAGTCAAGGGGGCACGTTTGTGATGCATCAATCACCTACACTGGCCCCGCCCCTACAGTCACTGCTCATCTGCATAATCATGAGCTCTGTTCAACTTCACAGACAGTCACTCACAGACAGAACAAACATCACGTAAAATCAATGACATGCCGTTGTCGCAAATCACCATCAGCGTGAATGGCAAAGAGTTTTCCTTTGGGATCAAATTAAGCACTCTCACAACAAACACTGTGTGTGTCCTTTTATTATAGATTTACACACCACAAATATCACAAAGCTGTTTAAATTTTAAGATTTTAAGGTTTTAAGGTTAAGTGTTAAGAAAGTTGAGATATTTGTATTGGAAAAAGACATAATTCTTTGCAGCGCAAACACACACTCAAGGCTCAGAGTTGGTGCAGATGAAGTTGAGCCTGATGGTCGTAGGAAGGCTGACCCAGCGCTGATCTCCAGCCGACTGAATAGCTCCGGCTCTTTGCTCGCGGCAGTCGTGCGCTCTGGTGCCGCTCCCCGCGGCCCAGTTCTGATAACAGACCACCTCGCCACACAGCCACAGCCACATGTTCATGCTGCAGTAGTGATGCAAACCCATCCACACGGCTGCCGTCGAGGCTCTTCTCGCCACGTTCATCACCCGCTGCTCGATCTGAGGGCTGGGCACCGACACCAGGTCCACGTGGTTCTGTCTGCAGTACGTCATGGCTTCACTCCAGCTCAGATTCTGCTTGATGAGTATGAACTGATCTGGAAGAGACATTTTAGATTTTAATTGATGACGTTCTCTCATTTTACACATGCAAGTCCAAGCATCGACTCACCTTGACAGGCTGCTTTAAACTGTAATAATATTTCACATTTTATACTGTATTTTTGATCAAATAAATGCAGCTGTGGTGAGCAGAAACATTAACAATCCTAAAGAACCCAAACTTGTGCAGGGAGTTTATGAAGGCAGACATGCGTACCTGCGAGCAGAAGCGTGACGAACACTGTGTCCAGCTCCATTTCTGATGAGATTGTGTGCATCTGATGATCTGTCCATCTCTCTAATGCTCTTTCTCAGCTCCTCCCATCAAACCTCATCCAATCCTGCGTGTGTCTGCTGAGCTTCACCTCAGCTAAACATGATTTTCTTGCTTAGTATTTCTGTCTTCCAGTATTCCAGGACAAATATCTAAAGATTCTTCAATCAGGAAACCAGCACAGAGGAGAACCAGGATCATACTTATTCTATCTTTGAAAAACAAAATAGACAAAACAGAGAATGCAAACTGGACAGATTAACGCATATATTTGTCTTATTTACTGGGAAACAACACAAAGACCCGAACACACAAAATCAACTGACAAAAACTGAGATTATAAACCAGTTTCAGCACAATGCATTTTATGCGTTTGGCTGATGCTTTTATACAAACAATAAGAGTATTGTTTAATATTAGGTTCTCCATTACAAAAATTAAAACAATAAGGGAAAAAACTTCAAAATGGAGAAACACTCGTCCAAACACTGTTTAATAAAGTATAAACAGACACGCACTATAAGTAATCAGAGAGTCAGTTGCATTAGGGTTTGTTTAGTACCTGGTTTCTATTGTTTAGATTAATAGTTGCTGCGGGGAAGAATTTGTATAGTCTCTATTTTTATTCTTATTTTAATAAGCAAACAAACACTGCATTTGTTTGTAATTAGAATAATACCTGCTGGTAAGAGGAAGTGAATTTGTTATTTGTATTGCTCGTTTCATCCGTGGCTGTAAGCAGGGTTTGATACTGACTGAGGTCTGGGATGCTATAATAACACCTACAAACACAACTCATTATAGACCCTCTTTTAACTTTAAAAGAGACAGGCATGCAGATGTTTGTCTTACTGTCAGCAATCACGTGCCCGTGCTCTCTATGGGCTTTTTTGATTGTTGTCAGTGTAAATATTTGTTATTGTTGCCAGGTTTTGCTACAATAACAAACAAAGACAAGCCCCCAAAAAGTTAAATAAACCAAAATAGGATAAAGATATCACTAACTCCAATAGAGCCCCGATATGAAAATAGTTTAGCAAAGGTGCACAGATCCTCATTCACACGATATGAGCACACGCAGAACAGCGGTCGCTCGTGCATCCATGCACTGTAAAACAAGTTCGATTAAGTAAAAAACAATAGTTGAAACTCATTACATCAAAAATTGTGTTCTGCAAAAGAAAGAGTAAATGAGGGCTAGGCAGCGTTTTCATGTTGAGTGGACTATCTCTCTAAATTCTAGGCAACATGATCCCTTACAGCTCACATCTTCAGAAAGTTGGAGTCATCCTCAAGCAGACTGCCTGAAAAGAAAGCCACTGAGAAGTTAGTCAGGTTGTAATAAACACTAGAAAAAATATCTGTAAAGCACATGGCACAAAATCAGTTATCTGACTTCTAGGGGTGGGGATCACCAGAGGCTTCACGATACGATATTATCACGATACTTGTGTCACGATACAATATTATTGCGATTTTAAATATATTGTGATATTCTGCGATATATTGCAATTTATTACCTTTTTCCAACTTCAAATCATGTCCCCAAAGGAAAACTTTGACAACATCTGTTTTAACTAAAAAGAAACATTTCTCAGTTTGTTTATCTCACTTCAGTTTTGCCGTTTTCAGTTAAGCAGACCAACACTTTCATGAAAACCTGTCATAAATGTTGTGTGCACCTGGCAAGCTCAACTATTTGTATTCCAGTCTAATCTAGTCCACCTTAATTAAATGTAAACCGGTATGCACTGCTGTGCTACGACAGGTATTTAGAACAGTGCAACTTGTACTAAAAAGTTGTGCAGACCCTTCAGCAATTGGGGCATTTGAAAGTAAATTACGGTCAAATTTAAATTAAATTTATTAACTCTATTCTCATTAACTAGCATTAAGAGAGATTAATAAATACTGTAATAAATGTATTGTTCATTGTTCGTTCAATGTAGTAAATACATTAACTAATGGAACCTTATTGTAAAGTGTTGCCTTAATATTAAATATCAATATTATCATCATGGCCGGACTTACCATTGGGCTTGAATGGGCTGCAGCCCAGGGGCCCCGCCTTGTAGGGGGCCCCGCCTTAACCCGTTTACATTTGTTCAGTGATGTGCCAGTCAGAAATTATTAGCCGCATTTCAACTGCGCACACGGGCCAGCCGGGGCTAACAACTTCCAGTTTCCAACTTCGACATTCCAAGCCATAATCAAACAGTATAAACTGGAATTTATGAAGGACACCCGTATTAAATCACGTCTGCGCTGCGCCGAATCGCAGATTAATTTGTGATCACACGGCTACTTTAAACGGTTCCATTAAGCCTTAGCCCAAAAGAGCGCACATTTACAAAGATAATGATAAATTCTCAAATGTTCACGCCTCACTTCTTTACAGAGGATGATTCTATATTATATTAATGTTCCACTAAATTAATCTGAAGAGTTTTGAGCGCTCTCTCCCGTCCAAAGACTATAGAATACCCTAATATCTTACAGTCTCACTACCTCCACACAAAGTGGAGCAGACATTTCATCAAAACGATTAAAAGAAATTTAAATAGCCATTTACAGGGTTCGTACGGTCATGAAAAACCCCAGAAAGCTTTGGAAAAGTCGTGGAAATGTATTTTACAAATCTCTATATCATAGGATATATGTTTAATCATGTCCTGAATCTCGGTGCGGGATTGCGCATTTTGGTTTTACTCATTCCCGCAGGTTTCTCACGTTTGGAAAAATTCCCGCAAACATGTATTTAATATACAATGTAGGTTAGATGAGTTAAAAAAATTCACACAGAATATCAGATTAAGTCAATCATTTGAAAATAGTGAGAGTGGTTCAGATGTACCGCGTCTTCTGGCTCTCACTCTCTCAAAATCGCTTCACATCACAAGACTCAGTGCTTAATCGGGTCAGTGTTGCATCATCACAAAAGTTTATCATTTGCACGTCTTTTTAAACCATTCGGTACTCGCGTGCTCCAAACTAGTTTTCTTGGCGCTCACGGTCACATCCAAAGCGCGCGCACATGAAGCCGCCTCAACACCTCAAGAAAAAGTTGTTTATTTATTATTTTTAAAAATGTTTTCATTGTTTCTGACCCAAGTAACCTTGCATTTTAATAAATAATGTTACATAAAGACAATTAAACGGTCAGTAATTAATGAACAAGTTACTAGCAATAGCACAAGGATACCTTTTTCAGGTAGACTAGCCTAAAACTAACAGTAGCTGCTACTGTTCAGGAACAAACGATGTATAAAGTCATAGATATAGATTATATTTATATATGAGTCCATATTAAATATGAAACTGTTATTTAGTCAAGAGCATATTTGAGCAGACAGCAGGTATGACAGACTGACAGACAGTAGGTATAAACACATGTTAATGTTAACAATGTTAATTAATTAGGCCTATTGGTTATTGTTAATTAATGTTAACAACAAAAGACAAAATCACTCACTGCTCTTGACTGAATAACTTTTGTAACTTTAATTTTAAGAATTAATCTGTTGTTTAATTTACAGTGAATTTACTGTTTTTAATTTACAGTTTATTCCATTTCTGCAGCATTTCTGTACCTGAATTTGTTTTCCACCAAAGCTGTTTCTAAAACTAAATTCAGGTCCTAAGTTTAATTTATAATACTGGCTAAGCAAATTACAATATACTTAACATTCTGGCATTCAGTTATGTGATTATGTAGCCTAACTAATGTTCTCTGCATGAAGTAACGTCTGGCGCAGCCGCAGCCTGTGCTTATTAGAAAGCAAACAAATAGCATTAATAATCATTAATTTTCCTTAGCATATGCTATGATAAATCTGAACATTTGTGTAAAATAATGGAGCATTAGGTCATGAATATTGCCTTAAAAGTCATTGAAATATATTGGTAGAACGAACCCTGCATTTAATGAGTGAATGCCTACGATACAGGAGTTAGCCTATCACACAAACTAGAGTCCTGTTTTTCCGAGTATCTGCACGATGGCAAATGTACAATAAACACAGACACAAAATTCTGTTTTGCCCCATCAGTGCGTCTCCGAGCAACAGTGTTTTGTTTCTCAGCTTCACACGGACCAGTAAATGGTTCAAACAGGCTATAAGTACAGTCGTTTGCTAAGTTAAATTAATTAGCATTTTAAACAAATCGGTTGATTTAAGGATTCAACTCGCTCATTAAGACAGTCACTTGCTGCCACCTACTGGCGGTTGTAGTTTCATATTTTAAAAAGTAGCTAATTATTTCATTTTTGCAATCATTTAATATTTCTACATTAAAATGTTGTATTTAAACTGAACATAACATCTATGGATTTTGTTTATAGTGATTTAATTTTATTGTTAATAGCCAACATGTTTTTTATTCAGATTGAATTTATTAAATTTAAGAATCTGACATAAAAAGACAGATATGACAATAGATTTTCATAATAATACATCTGTTTTTTTCTGCTCAGTGTTATTTCAGGGTTTTGATCTCTCAACTGAGAGATCACATCCTGTTTATTGTATTATAGTGACTATTTAATATTACATCTAAACTTTGACTAGGCTAGACATGTTGCCTATTAATTGTATACAGTATACGAACCTGAAAGCATATTTTAATTTTTGTGTATTTTGTGTTACTCCATAATAATGTTCTAGTTGAGGGCATTTGTAGCATAGGTATGGGGCCCAAACATAACCTCAAGCCCAGGGGCCCCCGGCCCTGTAAGTCCTTCCCTGATTATTATTATTATTATGATGATATGTAGCCTATATTTTCGGTGCATCCCTACTTACATCCCCTCCTTGTTTACAAATCTGAAGTAAGTCCATACATCCGATTTAAATGCGGACGGGGCTTTCCTGATAACTTTCCACGATGCGGCCCTCTTCATTTTACTAACTTACTGCATGCTGAAGGTGACCCCGCTGACCTCACCAGAAAAAACTCAACACCACAATCTGGTGGATTGTAAAG